CAAACACAATGTGTGGTTATGTGGGTGTCTACTACCCTACTACTACTACTAACCCCCAGACTCTGACCCAATGAATGTGGCCTAAATGAAAACAGCCCCAGACCCTCAGGAGCCTGTGATACTGGTGTAATGGATCCCCACAGGTGTAACCCTCCCAGCAACTGGGAGACTCGACTGGATCATAGATTTTAGTTGTTGCTACTGAAGAAACTGCTTTTCTGAAGGATATGAATCGATTATTGTGAAAGAGGTGAAACAGTGGTGAGAACTTGGTGCTTATTGGGGTGCTGAGAATAAATCATTAGTCTGGATTCTAACTGGTGATAATGGAGGGTCGATGCAGGGTTGTGATCATCTTTTTAACTAAAGTGTGTAACAGAGGTTAAATCTAGTTCAGGTGCTGACTGTGAGCATCCTCACAAAGTGGCAAACGGTCGACTTCTTCTCATTGATGTCTATTGATGGGTTAACAAACACAGAGCGGGCTGGGTCTCTGGCAGGTGTTCGTATGAGAATCATGGCCTCGGTATACTGTTGTTCTGATTAGTGTGTTACTTTTTGGAATAATGGTGGTGAAACTGGTGTTTCTAAAGTTCTGTCGGTTCATCTGGATGATGTGTCTTACTGCAGGTCTTTGTCCAGTTAATAGTAAAGGGTCTGTTTAACATCTTTGTTTGAGGCTGTCTTTAAAAGAACATAGCAGGATATAAAGACAGATAGGATGATGATGATGAGGGTGATGAAGAGAAGTTGCAGGGAAAGATTTTTACAGGATCTGATAGTTGATTTTCTCTATCGTTGATCTGCCAGATATTTACTCACTTCATCGTTGTACTCAAGACGTCTATATGTCAGTTATTGAAGTTCACTCAGTGTTTTTCATGTAAAATGTGATCCAGTTTGTGCGTCTGTACTGGGGATACTGGTGTAGCAGTGGGCTAACTGATATTTAGGTGCTGCTGTCTGAGTTTCAGGACGTGACTATGACATCACTTCCTGTAAGAGTGACGCCAGGAGTTCATCTCCAGAAAGAACGGCCGCTCTCTGCTAATCGACCAACACATGGGAGCGATGTCAATGATGTCTCCTCAGTAATGCTAATAACAATGTTCTGCTTTATTCCTCATTAGTGACGTTTATTTTCAGTGAGGGAGTAAAACATGGAGGTCAGCGCGTTTCTTTCTTCACTCCATCATTCAACTGGGATACCAGTGAGTATCATTAAACTGGTGTTCCAGAGTCACTGGGACTAAAATACAGATAAAGGCTGACATTTCCAGATTCCATCACCTCAGCGATGAAACGTCTAACGCTGGTGCAAAACGTTTCACAATGTGGGATCATTTCACTCCATATTTCACATTTTGACTGGTCTTCCTCAAACATAGAGCGACTCAAAGCTTACCATTGCGAGCAAAGTTAGCGATGGCCAGCGCCCCGGCCAGCTGCAGCTGATGGTTGTGAGATGGTACCCAGGACAGGACCCTCTGGAAGACGCTGCCCTTTCCTCCCTCAAACAGCTTCTGCATGGACTCGTCTACACAGAGACAGGAAACGAGAAGAAAGGAGGCAGGAGGAGAGCAGCTGTCAGCACTGCAGAGAGCCAGGACCACGCATGGAGCAGCAGAGATGTCAGGACTAAACTAAATGAATCAGGCGACTCATCGGGAGCTAGTTCCATTTCCAGCATTTGAACTGGGATCAGTGGTTTCCACTTGAGTAGTTTGGGGCATGCAGCACTAGCTGCTTCTTCTCTGGCCTCAAGTTTGCTGTTTCTACTTTTACCAAGAACAATCTGGTTGCAGTTTTTATAAGAACTTTACTAGAGGAGCACATGCAGCTGCTCCGACATGTGTCCTTGCTTTAAGCTTTAGGGAACGTAAACACAATGACACCACAATATGAGACGTGGATACTATCGTGGAGCAGCTTCTGAAGGCTGCTGTAGAACAACTGTATTAAGGAGAGCCATACCCCCGAGCAGCAGGAGAACCATCAGGTCAGAGGCGGTCTTCAGTTGGGCGATGTCCTCCTCCCGCTCTCCATCCACCGTCTGAGCCACGACTTCCAGCAGACACTCCACCAGGCCCGCCTCCACCAGCTGCAGCTTTATGACATCTGGCACAGGGAAGCAGAGAAGACCTTCAGAGAGCAAAGCCTGAAACATCTGCTCCATGCTCCATGACTGGCCCGAGCTCTTCAGGAGCCTACATGAAAAGTACTGGTGGCCACCAGCGCTACGTTTCAGCCTCCTAGAAGCTAGAAAAGCTGACCTCTGGAGGTCGAGGTCACTGAGATTCAAACAGGTTTTAAGTTGTATCAGTCTAAACTCCTCAGCCCGTCCACCCAGCAGGGTTTGAACCCCAGAAGGAGCCAAACTGGCTAAAACAATGAGGGGTGGTGGGTCTGTGGTCATGAACTGAGGACACAGCGTTGGTTTAATCAGATCGTTGGTACTGAGACTAATGACAGTCACAGCCGCATCAATGCAGATCATTTTAAAGCTGCAGGAACAGGAGACAGAAAGCTGCTCCAGGTTTCCTCTGCAAAGACTTGTCAGCGCTTCACCTGCAACACTAATGAAACAAGATGAACATGACACGATGCACCCTAACAACAGACGATTATCCCCAAATGACATCAAAAGTAATGAGAATCATCAATCACCACACAGAGCTGATGCTGTAACCATGGCAACCAGAGACAACTAAACAGAAAGGTTGTTTCCTGTCGGCAGACCAGCCACAGAGGCAGAAACAGGCTCGGGTCAGTGCAGACGAGACGAACTCGCCAGGATGTCGTAAGCAACCATCGGTCTGTCTCACAGAGCACTGAGCCATCCTCCAAGCTAAAGGCTCATGTTGTCCCAGCATAGCATTCATTTCAGTAAGCCGATGCTACACTGAACGTGTGGCTCAAAGCGTGCACCGTCAGACCGCTGGCGTTCAGGTTACTACAGAACAGAGCTGTCTGTCCAATGAAAAGCCGCGTGGCAAATAAAAGAGGTAGAGAGCGTCTCTGCAGTTAAGTAGGACGTTGTCCTGGAGACGGACAGTGTGGGAGGACTCGGTGTGCCTGCGATGGTGATAACAGCTCTGTGCTGCTCACACACTGGTGTGTGAAAGCAGGCAGCTGAGAGCCACAGGAGCTGTCTGCCATGACTGTGCAGTTAGCCTGATGAGTCACAGCATGCTTTACTATACAGTGAGCATGATATCCATGTGGAGCCCTGCAGCCTCCGTCCTCACTGAACAAAGCTGTTAAAGAAAAACAATCCGTTACCATTTTCTGCAAGTGGAGCCAGAACTTCAAAAATCATCTCCTTCTTCTCGTGCTCCATCTGTTTCTGGAAGAGGTGCACCAGCTCCTCAGCAATATTGGTGGATGCAAACTGCTCTTTGCTGGACTCTGAAAAACACAACAGGTACCACGAGTGTTACAAAGCTCACATTAGTGCACCGAGTGTTCACTGCAGCTAACTGTGTTTCATGTGTCTAACACCCGGCACGCTCCATCACACGTCCAACGACTGATTTAATAGTCGACGCGTCGTTTGAAGCTTTGTAAGATCACAAAGACGCAGGAATAAGTAGTAGGATTTAAGAGTGTAATAACGGACTGAAACAGAAGATGGCAGCACT